ACACATGGCCAGGTCCCAGTCATAAACCTGGGCCAGTTCACACATGGGCAGGTCTTTCCGTCTACTTTTTTCCTGTGCTTTTTTGTGCCATTCATCATTGAAGCTGTGTCTAGTCTGACAATGTCTTTTTTTCCTACATCCAAAGCCAATACTCTGCCCTGTGAGCCACTCCGACTCTCATCTGTTCTACCACAAAGTTAAAATAGCTCCTGTGTGCTTTTTGACCCACAGTGAACTTAAATCCAGACCATCATTAGGTCATCTGTCTTGTTCTGCAGTGACATCAGTCCATAGCACCCTGTACCTTCTCCCATGTCCCCACTCCCTACTCCCTCCCCACCCCCACTCCTCACCAGGAGTTTCAGAGCCTATCATACTTCCCACATGGTAAAAACAAAAACAAACAAACAAACAAACAAACAAAAAAACCAAACAAAGCACACCCCAGTGAGCTCCGGGCTGTATCACCTGCATCCGTCATTATGGAGAAATGGTTCTGTGTTTACAGGGATGCATCTCCCTCTTTAGAATCTTCCTCTAATGCTTCTGGTGTCAACCTAGATCTTATGATGTTTCTCATCTTAGCTTTTTAAAGGACCCTCCATGAAGTCACCATCCTGCAAGGTGAGTTGGTTCTAGCTACCTGCCATGTGGCCTGGCACAGTGTTCTAGTGCACATTAGACTGTGCACTTAAAATTTTACCAGTTAGTGTGAACCTCTAGCTGGAGATAGCTTAGTTGCTAGAATGGATCTGGGTCTTGAAACACTGTGGGTGGGCATCCGAAGGAGAGAGAAAAAGGATGTAGAGGCCAGCAGGGCCCTGGGGTACCTACGGGTGTTCCAACAGCAAAGGGGTGGGTACCAAGCTGACGCAGAGGGACTTGAGTATGACCCAAGGTTTTCACGGTGTCGCTGGTGGTGAGTGAACTCCCGATATGCCTGGGGAGCCCAGCCTCAGATCTCTGCTATAGATTTGCCTGGGCGTGAGGGCCCAGTAGTCTCATCTCTGCTTTCTTACCTTTTCAGCCCTCAGGCTCTGGGCCAAGTCTGTGTGGCGCAGAGGCGTCCTCCTGTGTGTGGGCTCTTGGATGCTGACCGAGTGGCTGCGCATTCTTTCTCGAGTGAGGCATTCCCGCAGCAGCCAGATGGGGGGCTCCACACTCTGAAGGCCGGGCTCCCCTGAAGGCCGAGGCCTTGCCGGGGACGTCTGAGCGCGAAGAAGCACAGGCTCCCCCAGGATAGCTGCCGGTTTTAGGATGCTGCATGGACACCACACAGACATAGTTCCTTTAGGGGACTCTGAAGTACTCTGGGGTCCCCCTAACCTGGCTTATGCAAAACTCTGGGCAGCCTGGACAGCCATGGCCTTAGATAGGACTCTCAAATTCAGAAAATGCTTTTGAGGGTGTGGGGGCAGGGCCTCTACTGTACTTGACCAGGAGACATTAGCTAAGCCCTTCTCACTGAGGGAAGGGTGGGAGGGAGGGTCGGCCCAAACCAGGTCCTCATAAACCGTTTCTGTTCTGACGGAAAATAATGAGGACCTGAGGATGGGCCAAGGCAAAATTCTGTGCAAGTGAAGGGTTGTGATTAACTAAATCAACATATCAAATCAAAGTGAACCTGACATATATCTCATAATTTTTACTGTAGCGCATGGTAATTAGGTATAAATGACAGCATCTTTAAACAATAATCCTAAATACAGTTCACTTTGTCACAGTGTCACAGTGCTACCCTGGGTGGCAGGTTCTCCCAGAGAGGGTTTGCATCTTAAGGAAACGGAGGCAGCGGTGGTTTATAGACTTCTCTTGTGAAGCACGGAGCCCTTTTGGAATTTGTACTTAGAATGATGTCTGCTAGGCCCCTGCTTAAACTACAGTGCAAAAGATCTTGCTTGTTTAGTTTTTGATAAATATATACTAGAAGGAAAGTTTTCTCTTTGGCTGCCCAACAAGGCAAAAGGAGTTTGTAATCCCATCCTCCTTGTCTCAAGAAGATCAGGTAACCTACGGAGAGGTTTTGCTTAGGGGCTATCAGCCGTATCATGGTCTTCACTGGCCTTGCTTTCTAGTCAGCAACAAGCCTGCCTCGCTGAGCTCTGTCTGGGGCTACACTGGACACCTGAGCCATCTCTACCTGTTCTCATTGCCTTCTGACCTCCCACAGCTCCCCTATGTACCCTCTGCGCATGCCCAGTCCGCAGAGACGCAGACACACAAAGTATATCAAAGAAAGCTAGTGCAAGCAGGTGCTTAAAGAGCGCTAAGCAATCCAGACAAGAGCTAATCCAAATCATCACAGGGGTGCATTTGTGCGGCGGCCAGATCAGAGCCAACACGGGTGCCCTGGGCTCCCTAGAATTCTGTCTGCCGAATGTGCTTGCAAGGCTGGAAGACAGCAGCCTGCTTCAGATCATGAGCTGGCATGCCCTGGTTGCCCATGGCAACCCAGCTGCACTGGAGTGCTAGCATTTGTAAATGTGTGGGCTTAAAATTGTATTATTGATTCTGTCTGAAAGACGATAGTCTGATTTGTATGTAGCTCAGAATAAATTAATCATTATCCTTTACAGCCAACCGAGTATGAATTTCCTTTTTTTTTTTCTTCGCTACCTTGTCTTTTGAGTTGAGAGACAGCAAATTGCATCAGCAGATGTGAAATGAAACGTTTCCCATAACAACCACACTAGAGGAATCCACATCCAGAGTACCCGCCTGGAGAGCCATCCCGAATTACTGAATAAATAACAAATGGGTCGGGGTGGGATGGAGCCAACATCCGGGCAACCTATTCTAAAGGGACTGCAGGATGTGGTTTGATCTACAGTGACATGCAGCTGTGGAAGGGGGAACTACAAGTCTGCGCAGGCCTCCCCCTTGGTGGGGGTTCTCTTCTGTTGTCTTTAGCATGCTGCACATCCCTGGGCAGATTGAGGTATTATTGCCCGAATTCCCTCACCTTCCTTCTGTCCATGGCCCTTGCCAGTAACTCAGTGCGTCCTTCCATGAAAGGCATCACGCGTTGCCCTTGACCATGGCCTTGGCTTAGTAGCTCACTTTGACTAATTTGACAAAGTGGCAGAGAGCCAATAATGAGAGGCGACTTTAAAGGACTCCGAGAGTCCTCCCGCGGTGCTTCTGTCATGCCTGTGAGAAGAGCCTGCTTAGCCATTGTACCTTCAGTGGGAATGCAAATGAACACATGCTGGACAGCTACCATCCCCACCAAATCCAGCCACCAGGTCTCTACTTGGACAGTTCCCCAGCCTAGAGCAGTTAGTTACTCCTGCCAAGCTAAGGATACGCGCCCACTGCTGAAGGCAACCAAGGTTTTGTGGATGCTTGTTGACAAGCAGTAGCCGACGAACATTGTCCCCCAACCTGTCTAATATTAGGGTCATCAGTGGTATGGTTTGAATATGGTTTGCCCACGAAGGTCCCACCTACAGCAGGGTGATGATGGGAAGTGTTATGGAACCTTTGGTCATCAGAGGCATGAGGTGGTTCACAGGTAACCCCCTTGCGGAGAGCACGGTGGAAAGGAAGAATCCAGCCCTTGCTCTCTGCTCCTGGCTTGAGGTGTAATGATTGGCTGGCCGTGTGCATGCTCCTGGGATGATCTCCTAGACCACAAGGTGATGAGGCCAAGGAGTGATCTTTCTTAGGTCACCATTGTTGAACGCTAGGCTGCTGAGAGCAGAAAGGATTGCTTTAAACCATCAGAAGGTACTCTAAATACCAACTTCCATCAGAGTGGACAAGTCTACAGAATATCACCGTCTTAAACTTGTGCTTTTTTTATCCTTCATCTTTCTACTCCTCAGTCAAAATGTGGCTGATACAAATGTGTTTAATCAATTCTTTTGTTTTTTGTTTTTTTGTTTTTTGTTTTTGTTTTTCAAGACAGGGTTTCTCTGTGTAGCCCTGGCTGTCCTGGAACTCACTCTGTAGACCAGGCTGACCTCGAACTCAGAAATCCACCTGCCTCTGCCTCCCAAGTGCTGGGATTAAAGGCGTGCACCACCACTGCCCGGTTAATCAATTTTTGACAAATGTTATGGAGTTTCTACCATAGACTGTGGCCCTCAGGATGGTGTAGTAAATATCACATTGAACAAAGGAAAAGAAGGTAGGCTAGATATGTAAGGAAAACTCAGGACTTAGCATTTAGGAAATTTATTCTATGTTTCTGTTGCTGTGATAAAGCACCAGGAGCAGGGCAGCTTATGGAAGGCAGAGCTTCTTTGAGATTATGGTTCCGGAGGAATAAGAACCCATCCTGGCTGAGAGACATGACAGCAAGCAACAGGCATGGTGGCTACAGCAGTCACTGAAGGCTCACATCTTGAGTCCCAAGCATGAAGCAGAGAGAGTCAACTGGCAATGGTGGGAGGTTTGAAACCTCAAAGCCCGCCCCCAGCCACACGCCTTCTCCCACATGGCCACACCTCCTAAGCCTTCCCAAACAGTGACACCAAGTGGAGACCAAGTATTCAAATGCTAGAATCTATGCATGCCAGCCTCACTCAAACCACTGCAATTATTATTTATTAAAACACTAAGAAGTCACTGGTTTGGGAAAATAAATAATAATAAAAGCTATGCTTGCAATGTGCTGGATCAGAGGTGTCGCCTAAGTGTGAAGGTAAAAATACCAAGTGGATAGTGGAAAGTCTTAGGAGACGGTCGAGCTAAAGAGATCGATGTGGAAGGAGAGGAACCCTAGAACAGTAGATAACACCCAATGCCAGAGGATGGGGTGAGCTTTTCCAAGCAGACTGCAGAGAGGAGAAGCACGAGATGGCCTGGCTTGAATCTTAGGTGTCCCTGAAGTTAAACAGTATGCAGAGGAAGATAGGTTAAGTACCATGCAGCAGCTAGAAGAGGGAAAACCAGGAGAGTGCAGCGGGAAGACTGGAGTGGTTTGCTTTGCCTTCCCATCCAGTGTCATCCCTGCCTTCTCTGGCTTATAAACTCAGTTTCTTGCTTCAGTGTTGGGTTATTGCCCTCCAGGAGAGCAACAGTGTCTTGCAGGCTCAGAATCAGAGTCAGGGATCGGCTATAATCATACTTACTGGCTTGGGTCTCATTTTAGACATGATCGTGTGACTGAGCTTTGACTAGTCATGTTTGAGTGGACAGCCACAGTGCCTTACATGCAAGACTGCTGTGTCCAAGACAAAAAGGAGAAAACATCTCTTCACTGAATTCAGATGGAGATGCCTCTGCTTCGGTCTTGCTCCATTCGCCCAACGTTGCTGTTGGGGGATGGGCACGTTCCTAACCGGTTAGGCATGGTGCCTCAAAAGCTGGTTCTTGTGGCTCCATAAGATTAGGTGATGTGCAGCCATAATTCAATGGTTCATTTCATCTCATTTTGGGAAATAACAGTTGCTTGTTGCTCTAGGTACATCATTGGTAGTCTTACCGCTAACCTAATATGGTTGCAACCATCAGAATAAACAATTTTCTTCTACTCTGAGAGTGTGTTACCTCAGGAGACATGGATCGAGTTTCCATTTTGAAGTTTCATTGTTTTTGAAAACAGGATCTTGTATATCTCAAACTGGGTCTCAGACTCAAGGCCCTCTCGCCTCTGCCTCTGGGGTGTTAAAATTACAGGCACTCACTCCCAGGTGCTTAAATACTTTCTAGAAGCATTTCATCGCCAATACTTGGGAAGTGGGGAGGCTGGGCTGAGGAGTCTGGGGAATATTCTAGAATTAATTTTCCTGTGACTGTGGAAAAGACTCATGATGGGGCAATGTGACAAGAAGAGGAAGAGGAGGAGGAGGAGGAGAAAGAAAAGGAGGAGAAGCAGAATCCTTATGGTCAGGAGAAGATTAGACAAGACATAAAAAGCACTTAGAAGTAAAACTATCCACAGAGACACTTTAGTGCCTTGCATAAGGAGCTCCTGATGTCATGGCCACTGCATCTGTAGGGTTCAGGACAGCCTCACACCTCTTTAATTGTATTTGCTTTATCCAATTAATGCTTCTGAAAGAGCTTTAATTTTGCATTAATCAAAAGCTCTCTTATTTTCAGGATTGACTCAAATTCAAGTGTGTGTGTCTGTCTGTGTGTGTGTGTGCACAATTAAGTTATCAAGGCGGAGGGTCTGATAGTGAAGAAAAATTCCTTAGCAACAGCCAGTTAAACACAGAGCTGGAAGCCTTACTGTGCATGTTGTTCTTGCCAGGCCGAGCAGGGAGCTGGTCACGGTGACAATGGGACAAACGTCCCTCCATCTTCCTTGACAACACAAACAATTACCTTACCTACACAGCTTGTGTTGACAGTAACCAGATCCAGGCCTATATCCCAAGCTAAAAGAATTCTAGGAAACTTTATGAACATTTTTTTTTCCAACAAAAACAGAAGCAACATTTCCTTACCTGCTATCCTGTGATGTTTCTAATCTTCCCAAAGCAGAACATGATCTGCGTCTCCAGCTCATGGTAGTAGGTGGCGAGAACTTTCAGGGACCCCTTTACTGATTGGAATCGTGTCCACTCAGCTGTTTGGAACAGTTTTAAATGACCAGAGGGATGCCGAATGAAGAAAAGTGTGTGTTTTCTTGCAGGGAGCAGCCCATGTTGGTGAGGTCTACCCAGGACAGAGGCTCCAGTGCCCCCGGTCAGTGGCAGGATGTGTAACTGGAGCACCTACCGGCTATAGGTTCCTCTTTTCTCCACTCCTCCCCGAGTAATCCCTTTACAGGTGTTAGTAACTGATAACCACGTGACCTTGTGGGAAGAGAGAATGTGAGGAAGTGAGCAGCTCTGGTCATACACATGCTTTGTCACCTAGTTCAGAATATACTCAATATGACCATAACACACGAGGTACCGTCTGCCATTCAAGAATGACCTCTGGTCACCAACCCTACCTCTTTCCCACCTTCCCTAGCTCCAACCACAAACTTCCTTCTTGAGGGGGCTTCTGATAGAACCTTTGGAACCATCCAACCTCCTCTTCCTCTCACAAAAATACTTCGAGTTCCCCAGTAAGTCCTGTTGGCCTCCCCTCTACCACACTCCAGTCTTCTCCTGATTTACCAACACCTCAGGCCTGACAAACCCTTCTCCTCTCACGGGGACTACAGAGAAGCCTCCAATGCCCTTTCTCCCCACCCCATGTCTGTCTACTTCCCTACCAGATAAGACCAGGTCAGATGTTGAGCCTCTAAAACTCCACCATACTTCTTATTTCATTGGAAGAAAAATCCAGAGAGTTTACTGTAGCCTCAAAGGCGCCCCCTTCTGACCGATCCCTGCTACTGCGCTTCTCTCTTCACTCACGGTAGGGCATGCAGGACTCTCCACCCATTTCCTCTGCCAGGAGCCTCCTTCCCAGATAACAATAAGATTCCCAGTCACACCCACCAGTGACAAACTGAGTGCCATTTTAGCCCTCCCCAACACCCTAAAGGGAACAGTTGTCCCGTTAGCCTATTTGATTTTAATTTCTCCCCCAGGGCTCCTGACTGCAGTGTGTAGTTAATAGCTCATTATGAGTATATCTTCGACATACGCAGCTCTAAGTTCCTTGTGAAGTTCCCCCCATTTGTAACAGAAGCTCCATGAAGGTGGATTTTCCTCTTATGAAGTCCCAGAGCCTCAAGTTATGCGTATGTGGTGTAGTTGAAGGAATGAGTGAGCTAGCAAGTGGGTGAGTGATGGCTTCCAGTTTGCCAACAGTTTCCAAAGACTTCATCTACTAAACCCTTATAATAATCCCAAACTGTTACGACTCTCACTGTAGAGAAAGAAAGAAGCCCAGAGTGGTCATGGCTAATTTCAGATTGCGTAGTCAGTACGGTAGGATCATTTCTGTTTGGGGATGACTGAGCTCTGTCCTAAATGTGGGCCCCTTTGAACTGTTCCACAGTTGTTTCACCTATGGCCTCCCATAAAATTCTATGGAAAAGTAGGGGTGCGCAAATCTTTTTATCTAATTTTTAAATAGTTTTGAGGATTTCATACATGAGTACTGTACTTACACCATTTCCAC